TTTTTGAATTAGATATGTGAGTTAAGTTCTAATATTATTAATTATATATATAACTGTGGCCTATCATGGCCGTGACGAGTCTTATAGAAAAAAAAAGATAAGGTACGTGGCACTCGGTTGAGTAGGCACCGGGTGCTCGTCGTGGCCCTCTAATTTGGGTCGTGATAGGACATTATCACAATCTTTAGAAATTATTTGTGGGATGGGAAAGGATTATCAAATAAGGCACCCTTGATAGCATGTGATCTAGTATGCAGACCAAAAAGGGAAGGGGGTCTGGGAATAAGGGAGTGCAATATTTGGAATGAAGCAGCAGTGGTAGAATATGTATGGCACATTGCAAGCAAAGAAGACATGTTATGGGTTAAATGGGTGAACCATATATATTTGAAAGCGAAAACCTGGTGGAACTACATCCCCCCACAGGATTGCTATTGGTACTGGAGGAAAATATATTCCATACGAGATTGGTAGAAGACCAAGACTAGAAAGCAAAAACTGGAACCATGGTCTTGGCGCAGATGGGTGTAGAACAAAATGAACAATCCAAAGCATAGCTTTATCTGTTGGCTTGCAATGCGAAGAAGACTCTTGACAAAAAATAGAACACTAAGAATGGGGATTATGCAAGACAATGAGTGTATCCTATGTGATGGTCACACAGAATCGATTGATCATATATTTTTCGAATGCGCATTCTCTAAGATACGCTTAGAAGAAGTCCTCAAATGGTTTGGGATGAACATAAGAAACACAAAGGTGGCAGGTTTATGGCGAATGATGCCTAGAGCAACAAAGAAAAAATAGGACGATTATTTACACAAGCAGCTTTGGCAGCAATCATATAACACATTTGGAGAGCCAGAAATGAAGTAGTTTGGTTGCAGAAAATATCAAGACCTCAAAAGATACTAGAACAAATACAATATATATGTAAATACAGATGCCTGGAAGTTATACGAAAAAAGAAGAAACAGAAGGAAACTAAATGGGTAGAGAATTAATACAAGTAGCCGTTGAATAGAATAGTATCAAAATGTAAAGCCAGTTAATAGTGTAAGGAGGATAGAGATATAGGAAGAGAAGGGAGGGACACGATGATACGATAGACTGTATATGTTTTGGTTCTGGATGATTGAATAATAAGTTTTTATTTCCACCAAAAAAGAACTCATAAATTATTATTTATTCCCTTTATTCCAAATTAACTACCCAAAACAAGACTTAGGTGTCAGTTTACGTTTTCCTTAGCTCTACTCATCTGTTAGATCGAGTTCATCTGTCCAGACTAGTTTGTGCGCATCTCAATTATGCTATTAATATTTGTGAATTTCCACCAACATAGATATCTAGTAACTGTGCCACTAGGCTTAGGTGATGAAAAGAAATTATCTAATATTTTTTACTTCCACCAAAATTTAAACCTGAGACTTATGGTTCTCCTCCATTTCATTAATCACTTAAGTCACACCCTTGGATGGATAACGAACTAAAGATTATTGTACGAAAAAAATATAAATCTACTATTGGGGGATAAGTGATACTATATGGATGTGAAAGAGGTCTGATCTGAGCATAGCACTTCATGTAACAAAGCCAAATTAAAACAGACCATATATTAGCAAAAGCTTGTTACGGTCTTAACTCTTATGGACCACGACCACTAGATCCAACTTTCTTTTAAATTATCTTAAATTAGGTCCCCTTTTCGTAAAGGAAATCAATTCTCTACCCTACTCAATAAATTCTCGTTATTTTATTGTCAAAAATATGTTAGGACCTTCTTTTATTGAAAATAGTACTATGCAACTTTTTCAACTAGTTAGCTTTATTTTCATGATACTTGCCTTAATATTCAACTAAATTGACACTATATATTAAACACCTAAATTTCATACCTAGGACCGGAACTAAATAAAATTCGATGTTAGTCTCCTCTAAATATATAATTAGAACCATCACATACAGAAAAGGATGATAATCAAAACATTCCATGCAAGAAATATCACGTACAATAAAGAGAATGGCCCATTTGCCATGCCATTACACAATAGCTAGAATATTATTGGTTTGTGTCGGTAGTATTGGATCAGCGTTGACGAAGTTTCGATCTAAAGAGAAACAATAATTATAGCCGGTAGATATATGATTTATAGCCTCTTGACTAATTCTATTGGTTCATTTAATGTTCCCGCCACTTCCCCAACGGTTCAAACGCGTCGAATAAACCATGCATGCAGCTTTGCACATTGTTGACATTAATGTCTTCAGCTGACGAGTGACTAATAATACTATCCATATTTTGTCAACTTAGATCGAGTAACTAAGCCTATATATATTCAGAAACTCTGAGCGAGGAAGAGCACAAGTAATCTGATCTGAGAACCTTTGTGATCATATACAGCCATGGGTTCTTCTTCTCAAAAGTGGGTTATCGGGTTACTTCTTTTCTTGAGCATTTTCTTGGAATTGACTGCCATCACTTTAGGTGATGACAAGCTTGAAGAGTCGAGGTGGGGTAATGATAATGGTTGTGGATATGGAAGGAGAGGTTGTGGTGGATATGGTGGACGCGGTGGACGTGGGGGATGGGGAGGACGCGGTGGACGTGGTGGTCCAGGTTTTGGTGGTGGTAGAGGTGCAGGTGGAGGGTTTGGAGGCGGAGCTGGAGGCGGTGGTGGACTAGGTGGAGGAGGAGGGTTAGGGGGTGGTGGAGGAGCTGGTGGAGGTCTTGGCGGAGGAGCTGGAGGAGGTCTTGGAGGAGGAGCTGGAGGTGGACTAGGTGGAGGAGGAGGAGGAGGATTAGGGGGTGGTGGAGGTAGAGGAGTTGGTGGTGGAGCAGGTAGTGGAGGAGGGTTTGGAGCTGGTGGTGGTGTTGGTGGTGGTGCTGGCACTGGAGGCGGTGTTGGAGGAGGTGGTGGCTTCGGTGGTGGTGGAGGAGGAGGTGTTGGTGGAGGGTCAGGTCATGGCGGTGGATTTGGAGCTGGAGGAGGTGTAGGAGGTGGTGCAGGAGGAGGACTTGGTGGTGGAGCTGGTGGAGGTGGAGGTAGTGGTGGTGGGGGAGGTATAGGTGGTGGTTCTGGACATGGAGGAGGATTTGGAGCTGGAGGTGGTGTTGGTGGTGGTGTTGGAGGAGGAGCTGCAGGAGGAGGTGGTGGTGGAGGAGGCGGTGGTGGTGGTGGTGGAGGAGGTGGTCTTGGAGGAGGCTCAGGACATGGTGGTGGATTTGGAGCAGGCGGTGGAGTTGGAGGTGGTGCCGCTGGAGGAGTAGGAGGTGGAGGTGGATTTGGAGGTGGTGGTGGAGGTGGAGTAGGAGGAGGATCAGGCCATGGTGGTGGTTTTGGTGCGGGTGGAGGCGTAGGTGGTGGAGCAGGTGGAGGATTAGGAGGAGGAGCTGGTGGAGGTGGAGGATTAGGAGGTGGACATGGTGGAGGATTAGGAGGCGGACATGGTGGAGGATTTGGAATTGGAGTTGGAATTGGCATAGGAGTTGGTGTTGGTGCTGGAGCCGGAAAAGGTGTGGGTGTAGGAAGTGGATCTGGCAGTGGTGGTGGCGGCAATGGCCGATGATAAATCTCGTAGTTACACAACGGCAGTACCAAGATGTTGTTCTAGTCGTTAAAGTTGTTAAGATACAGCTATTAAACAAATTAATGAGTTTGTATTATTGGCTTTTGTATGCATTGTGTTTTGTGTTTTCTGTAATTTCCAATGTAACATCCTCATATTAAGAAAAGAAGCTAATTAAGAAGCTTATGCTACTTATTCCTTTGCGTCTAAGGAAGTAATCTCAAAGATCAACTTTATGACAGATTCTTCAGATGCTATACATAATAGACATTGGACCAAAAGATGATATATTATTTATATTATTATAAATGCATGTTGGATTACAAAAATAACCTTTTAATATTAAGCATAATAACTTATAATAAAAAGAGATAATCAGAATTCTAGACATTAGCCTTATAATCCTATTAGTTTTAGAACATAATACTACACATTAGGAATCCTACATGATTACCTTTAGGAATTCTATTAGTATAATTATTTTTGGGAATATATATTAGCCTTGTAATCCTATTACTTTTAGGATATATTTCTTAAAAAATTCCTATTACTAATTCCATTTGAAAATATATTATATTGTCAAAAATCATTTAAAAATATGAGAGTCTATATTATTATAAAAGCACGAATATAATACTGACAGACCAAAATAGCTCTAAAATATTAAACAGAAGAACTCATAGGGAAAGGACATAGTTATAGTAACTTATTTTTTTGAACTACAATAACTTCTATGTTAATTTTTTTAATATTTAAGATTTTAAAATTAATATATCTTGTCTATTAAATTCTTATTAAAATATGTAGAGAGGTTTAATAAAATCTATTTCATAAAAATCCTCCATATCGGTAATATTACCACTCTATAATATTCAATACCAAAAAAATAAAAGTAATGCTAAACGGACTGCATAAAGCGTTGAAATTGAGAAATAAATTCCACAACAATATATTATTAAATTATATTTAAGCTGCTTTCCTCAAATAATATTTTTTATTATTAATTTTTCGTGTAATATAGAAAAATATACCCAATTATTAAAGAACAACTAAGAAATTTTTTAAGAATATAACCGTGTGAGAAAAGAAAGAAAAAGGTTGGTAAGAGCCAATACCATTAATGATTTTGCAAACATAAAGATCTAAAAGTGAAATATCATTGATCTTTTTACTCTTTAAAAAAATTTATGGTGGAAAATTATAATCACGGTTAAATATTCAAATATGAGAGACTCTAAATCAACAGAAAATAAACTATATTTTATGTTAAAATCAAATAATAAAATCTTTCAATTAATTATTTGCAAGAGAATCCAATTAAATTATTTTTTAAATTCATCATATGAGTAAATTATTTTTCAAGTTAAAACAAATCTTAGGGTACATAAATTTATTCTATAAAAAGAGTGTTACAATTTTAAAAAAAAAATAGATCACAAAGTAAAAAAGATTAATATAATATTAAAAAGGCCATACAAGTGTTTGAGGAGGCACAATCAAAGCTAAATCCTGAACAAGAATAAGCTTTCAAGACTATATTATCAATAATCGACTCTAATCTAGCAGGATTATCCTTTGTGGATACCTCCAACGGAATCAAAACAATATTCTTATGTCATGCATTACTTGCAAATGTCATATCAAGTGGCATGATATTGTTAACAATAAGAACAAGTGGTGTACTAGCAACGATTTAGTATGAGGACGTACAACTCAATTCAGATTTGATATGCCTCTTCAAGTAACTGAAATAACCATCACAAATATATCAAATCAGAGCAACAATGCTAAATTTATAAGGAAAGTAAAAATGATAATATGGGATGAAACACTTTTGGCTAAGCGTCAAACGATCGAAACAATCGCCTAGAGTTTTAGTGATATATTGGATATCGATGAACCGTTTGGTGAAAAAGTGATAGTTTGGGAAGTGATTTCTGTCAAGTACGATTAGTAGTTCCAAAATTGACCAAAGCAGAAACTGTAAAAGCTAGCTTGCCAAAATTATACTTATGACCTCAAATGAAAAATATTCAAATGACAAGAAATATAAAAGTAAGAACAAATGCAACATTCACTAACTTCTTGATTCGTGTCAGAAACAAAGAAGAACATCCAATAAAAGACTAGAACACTTGGCTATAACCCCAATGGTAATAGTAGTGCATTTAATAAGGAAAATGTAGATTTTCATCATTAGATTAGAACACAATTTGTGCAAATTACATGTTAGAATTTAAAGAGCTATCTTAGCTAGCAAAAATGAATATGTTGATTAAAAAAATAAAAGGTTGATTGCTAAGTTTTATGGTAAAAATAAAATATTTTTCAGTTTTGACTCATCAGAAAATGATGCCAACAATAACTACTAAGAAGAATAGTTAAATATTTTAATACCAAATGACCTTCTACCGTACATGTTTGTTGTCAAATTCATTATTTATTATATATGTTAGTGTTACCATATATATAATAGACTAAGTTAAAATTAATCTTCCATTGCATATAGGTTGATTTTGAAGAAAAATATGCCTGTCATGCTACTGAAAACTTAGATTCGTTGAATAGCTTATGTAATAGTACACATATGGTATATAGAAGTTTTAGCAATAACGTCATACGTGCAGAACTTATGATACTGGTCAATACGCTTCTAAGAATAAATTTATCTCCGAATTCAATTTTCGTCTTCCGAAACTAAAGAATATCCTTTTAAATTTGTGTGAAACTAAGTTTCAGCTTGTTTATATTTTGTAGTTATAATAAATAAAGCACAAGGACAAATATCCTAAATATTGAACTATATTTACCACAATATATTTTCTTACACAAATAACTATATATTGCGCTTTCAAGAGAGATATAAATATCAACAACAAGAGTTCTGGTTATGGCAGAGTAATCAAAGCATGAAAGAAATATATACAAAACAAACACCGTCTATAAAGAAGTATTCGGTAAGATATCATCGCATTAAACACCTTTAAACTACAATACATAATTATCTACTTAATATGACTAAAGATGATCATTTATATAAGTTCTGATAATATCCTTTTATTTTGAATTCACGTATTATGGCAATGTAGTAATATTTTTCGCCATTTAGATGATTGTTATAGTGATATATAAAATTTCTCTCATTAATTAAATTTATTATTCCTTCATATAAATAAATATTTAAGCCATCATGTGTCATTATTAACGTGCAACGCACATTTATAGATACTAGTTCTCATAAAGGACCGAAAATTATTTATCATGTGGTAGCTAGCCTTTACACAGATCAATTTGGAAACAAACTTGAACTCTAAACATACTAGAATTTCACTTTATTCTGATGTACTATTATCACTATTATGTCTTCTATATTAGTAATGTAAAACTGTAACATTACACTGAATAATGACATAATGAACAGCCAAATTGAAGTGTATAGTCTCAAAAGTTGCATATCCGCGAGCAAGTCTAAATTTTCCAGTACCACCAACCACGGCCACTTCTCTTACCCTCTCAAACTGAGGACTAGCGCCTTGTATTTCCAAAGTGGTGCCTTTATATTCTTCATTGGTGAAGATGATTGATATTAGCACATGCGAAATAGTTCCATCCAATGCAGAAGTAACATATATACCTTGAGCTCTAGCAATTTCAGCCGAGTTCTTGTCATAGGCTTCTGTTATAGGATCATCAGTAACGAACATAGAACCGAACTTAGTAAAACTCAGAGGACCATTTTGGTGATCTGTTATTTGAAGCACAGTAGCATTTGGTCCACCAGACCAATCTTGAAAGTAGAGTGTCATTCTTGTTTCTTTAAGTTGGTCTAGTTCAGCTTCTGAATTAATGAATATGGTTAGAAGTAAAATGAGGGATAACTTGAATGAATTCGATGCCATATCAATAAGATCAACAAAATAATTTATGTTATACTTGAATGTTGGGTTTTCAGTGCTTTAATTTGGTGCAATGCTGGGTATTTATGCAACTCTCGTTTCCATTCCTGGGGATGCAGGGGGCCGGAGTGGGTTGGGTTTAGGATTAAAAAACAAGAAGTTTTTAGTCTTTTCATCTCTTTTTCCAATTTTGAAAAGGACGTTGTGTGAGTAGATGAAAAGATCAAACAGAAACTTCTAAATTAAAGAATATGTTCCAACATCTCAATGATATAAAGTATAAACTAAGAAAGTAAAGACAGAGAATGGTATATTGGATAGATATGATTCGCATTTCTTTTCCGCAAAGTTTCTTGTTGTAAGCGATAGTACTGTGATGATCCAAAAGGTTATCACTTATTTTAAAATGAAATTTTCGTGTTCTGAGGCCTTGAAAACCTCATTTAGAGTCACCTTGATTTGCGTACGCAGACCGGGCGCGTAGCCGGAAAGCTTAAATATGAAATTTTATAAAAAATGATAAGTTTTGACTGTAAAATGAATAAATTTGACTTCGGTCAACATTTTGGGTAAACGGACACGGATCCTTGATTTGATGGTCCCAAAGGGTTCGTAGGAAAATATGGGACTTGGACGTATACCCGGAATCGAGTTCCGAGGTCCCGAGCCTGAGAAATGAATTTTTAAAGGAAATTATTTTCTGAAATATTTTAAGGAAATTTAAAATGAAGTTTGATTAGAAAGAGATGGTATCAGGCCCGTATTTTGGTTCCGGCGCCTGGTACAGATTTTATATATGGTTTAAATCATTTCTGTAAAGTTTGATTGAAAACGGACGTCGTTTGATTTGATTCAGACCTAAATTGTTAAATTTGATACTTGATGAAGTTTGAGAAAAAATTCTTGATTTTGAGGTTTGATTCATTGTTATTGAGGTTATTTTGGCGATTTGATTGCACAAATAAGTTCATATGATGTTGTTGAGTTAGTACGTGTGTTTGGTTAGGAGCCCCGAGGGCTCGAGTGTGTTTCAGATGTGTTTCGACAAGTTTTGAACTTAGAAAAAAGTTGCAGATTCAGAGAAGTTGCAGGTCTCTGAAGCCAGGTCTCGCGGTCCACGGTGGAAACTTCACGGCCGCGGTGGGGGCTCCGTGACCACGGTGGGATTTGTGCGGTCCGCGGTGAGCAAGGCCAACCCTCCACGGCCGCGCTCGATTTCTTGTGGTCCGCGATGGAGCTCCGCGGCCGCAGTCCTTTTTATGCGGTCCGCGGAGAGGGTCTGAGAAGTGTATAAATAGACGAGATTTTCAGTTATTTTCATTTTTCAAA